ATGACATGCCTACCTAGTGGGGGTTGCAGAGGAACTGAAATTACCTGAAACTGACGTTTCCAAACTACTGCAGATGCCTGTAAATGCACAGCCGTCAGCGTTACAACAACCTTTCAGACTCACACCAGGTTTAGAAGCACGTCCCTTCACCGAGGGAACACCAACAGAAAATACCTGGTTCACCGGTGCCTCAGCAAAAAGGATCACAGAATCATAGAATCAACCAGGTTGGAAAAGACCTTTAAGCTCATCCAGTCCATCCCTTACCCCAGCACTTCTGAGGTCACCATTAACCCATGGCACTGAGGGCCTCGTCTACACAGTGCGTGAACACTTGCAGGGACGGTGACTGCAGCACTGCCCTGGGCAGCCTGTTCCAATGCCTGAGCATTCCCCTGGGGCAGGAATTGTTCCTCAGCTCCATCTAACCCTGCCCTGGTGCAGCTTGAGGCTGTTTCCTCTTGTCCCATCCCTTGTTCCTAGGTAGCAGAGCCCAGCCCCTCCTGGCTCCATCCTCCTGTCAGGCAGTTGTAGGGAGTGATCAGGTCCCCCCTGAACCTTCTCTTCTCCAGACTGAACCCCCCAGCTCCCTCAGCCCTTCCCCATCAAACTTGCACTCCAGGCCCTGCACCAGCTCCATTGCCCTTCTCTGGACCCGCTCCACCACCTCAATGTCTCTCTTGTAGTGAGGGCCTCAGAACTGATGCAGCCTCACCAGTGCCCAGTGCCGGGACCAAACCAGTGCCGTGGCCCTGCTGCCACACTGGTGCTGGTCCAGGCCAGGATGCTGCTGGCTTCCCGGCTGCCTGGGCACAAGCTGCTCATGCTCAGCTCCATCAATCAGCACCCCCAGTTCCTTTCCCATGAGCAGTTTTCAGCCGCTCTTCCCCAAGTCTGAGGCGCTGCAGGGGGTTGTTGTTGCCCAAGTGCAGGACCAGGCACTTTGCCTTCTTGAACCTCATCCCATTGGCCACAGCCCATAGATCCAGCCTGTCCAGATCCCTCTGCAGAGCTTCCTACCCTAAAGCAGGGTAGGTACCTCCACCGCTCCCTGTAACTGGGAGCGGGGTTGAAAAGCCTCATGGGGTCTGGTTTGGGGGCAACAAGAGCATTTTGGGGCTGGAGTCCCTGAGGGCAGAGCAGCTTTTTTTGGGCATCCTCATTTGGGATGGGGGTGTTTGGTGGGGCCTCTCTAGGATTTTGGGTCCCTGGATTCATTTGGGAGAGCCTGGGGTGATGGGAGGGTGCGGGTCACATTTGGGCTGCCCCAGGCCCCCCATTTGGGTGTCCTGCCTGCTCTTGTGATGCTTCAGGGAGATTTGGGGTACCCCAGGATTTTAGGGGGCACCACATCTGCTTTGAGTGCTTCCAGCACCCTTTGGTGGGGCAGTGTGGTTTTGGGGTGCCCCTTTACCAGGGTGCCCCTTTTGGGGATCCAACCCTCTGGCTCCCCTGAATTCACTACTGAACCCAAAGCAATGTTGGGGTCCCCCCACTGGATTCGGAGTCCCAGAGCATCTTGGGGGACCCCTAGGGCTGGTGCTGGGGGGATCCCTCTTTTCAGGACACCCCTTTTTTATCAGGTCTGTGCCAATGCACTGAGCCAGGGCAGCTTTGGAGCAGGGGGCTTTGGGTTTGGGGGATTTTGGGGGATCCTGGGAGGATCTGGGGGATTCAGGCTGGTGCCTAAAATGCCTCAGGGTGGCTCAGTTATTTGGGGGACTTGCTATCTCATAAAAATGGGGGTTCCATCAATCCCCGGGCAGCCAAATCTCATTGGATGCCCTAGGGAGCCCCATTGCAATAAAAGGGAGGAATTTGGGCGTTTTGGAGGGATTTCAGGTTCAAGGAACATTTGGAAGTTTGGGAAGGGGGGTTCCACCAAAACTCGTTGTAGGAGGCACATTATATTTGGGGAGCTCTCATATGGTGAAAAGAGGGGGTATCTGGGTCCCAGGGCACCCTGAGTCGCTCTTGTGTGAGCAACATTCCCCCAGGGTGGAGATGTGTTGAGGGAAAGAGTTTGGGTGTTCAGAGGGGATTTGGGCATTCGGGGGAATCCCCAAAGTTCCCCGGGGTGGTGCAGGGATTTGGAGAACACCCAGTGTCCCAAAACTAGGGGTTATATTTGTCCCACTGTACCCTGACTCTTCAGTGCCCCTGTTGGCCCATGGCAGTAAATGGGGGGGATTTGTGTTTCAGAAGGGAACTGGAGGTTTGGGGGGATTTGGAGGTTCATGGGAATGTCCCCAAGCACTGCAGGTGGGAGAGTAATTTGAGGGGCCAGCGGAGCCCTCAAACAGGGGCTACAGCCACCAGAGAGCACCCCACAGATCATTGGGGTGGGGGGAACTGGAGACATGGTGGGACCTTGCCAGGTTTTGGTTACTGCAGGGCTCTCACTCCTTAAACAGCCCACGCTCACCATGGGCGCCCCGTCACAATCGGCAAATCCACAGCGACCGCCACGGCTTTGTGATGGCGGCAGCTTCCTGCCCATGGCCACTGGGCACCCAGGGGTGCTCCGGGAGTCGCTGCGGGTGAAACAGCCTCTGCCCAGCCGGCTTGTTGAGGTCCCTCACAGGCTGCTCTTTCTCAGTGCCTTTGGTCTAGATGTGAAGTATGTGAGGGGTCACAGCTCAACCTGGGCAATGGAACAGGGCATCACGGCCACCTACAAGTGGACTTATTAGTGTATATAAATATATAAAGGGGGAGTGTCACGAGGATGGAGCCAGGCTCTCTCAGTGGCAAAGAATGAGAGGACAAGGGGAAATGGGTACAAACTGGAACACAAGAGGTTCCACTTAAACTTGAGAAGAAACTTCTTCTCAGTGAGGGTGACGGAACACTGGAACAGGCTGCCTAGGGAGGTTGTGGAATCTCCTTCTTTGGAGACATTCAAAACTCGCCTGGACACGTTCCTGTGTGACCTTATCTAGGTGTTCCTGCTCCGGCAGGGGGATTGGACTAGATGATCTTTTGAGGTCCCTTCCAATCTCTAGCATACTGTGATACTGTGATACTGTGAGCGTGACCAACATTCACACAGCAGAGAATCATGGAATCCCAGATCGGTGGAATGAACCTTAAAGCTCATACAGCTCCAACCCCTGCCACATGCAGGAACACCTTCCACTAGAGCAGCTTGCTCCAAGCCCCTGTGTCCAACGTGGCCTTGAACACTGCCAGGGATGGGGCAGTCTCCTGAGATGGGGAAGGGAAAAACAACCCAAAAGTGAAACAGCCTGAAGCAAGCACTGATGTTCACTCCCTCAGCTGGCAGACACACTGCTTCCTGCAGTGTCATTTCTGTGATGAGAGACAGAGTTAAGGCTAAAAATCAACTTTTCTTAGAATCACGGAATCATTTCATTTCAAAAGAGCCTTGAGAACATTGAGTCCAGCCATTAACCTGCCCCTAACAAGTCCACACGCTGACCATGACAACATCCCTGTGGGATACCCTGTCTGGATGGTCACCAACAGCAACTGTGACTTGAAGTTGAATTCTACATAATACCATAATTTCAGAAAACTCTTCCATATATAATGGGACTTAAACATATTTAAACCAACCAACCATTTCCCTCAATTTATAACTGGAATTCAGCACTACTCTGCTGGTAGGCACAGAGAGAAGAGGTGACCACACCACTCTGTGAGAAGGATGGCTTCAGGGAGACCTTTGATGCTGTTTCTCCTAGAACACAGGGGAGGATGGAATGACATATTATCTTCAATAACAAAAACACATTCCTATTACCATTGCAGATATGGAACAAGATGCTAGAGCCCAACCGGTTTTACCAGGAAGAACAACAATTAACTAAAAATTCCCTCCTGTGCTCTTTCCCTTCCCAGCCAATGGATGCTTTCCTCAATAACTGACAAGTGCACATGACACAGCAAGAGATCTGTGTGTACTTCACGTGAGGGTGAACAGTTCCTTTTGGTGTTAGATCTGCAGTCAGATTTATCTCCAAAGGAACTCAACCATGTACCAAAGGAAACAGACGGGGAATTTCCATCTGCACCTGCAGTGTCTTGCTGGGAACGGCACAGCTGGGACTCCAAGAAACAGCTGGGATTTTTTCTCCCGAGGAATCCACCAGTGACAGGAAGGAAACACACGCTCTTCTCTGTGACACCAGGGGTCACTGCTTCAGCTGAGCTCTGTTCCCTTTTCATAATCACACAAACCCTCTGTGTACTCAGCACACCAGACGCTTTTATCAAAACCTGACCTCCCTGGAACACTTCAGTTGTAGAGGCACTAAGTATTTATTTACATGCTGGCAAGGGACCTTAAAGCTCATCCAGTTCCAATCCTTGCCACAGGCAGGGACAACGTCCACTGGAGCAGCTTGCTCCACGCCCCTTTGTCCAACCTGGCCTTGAGTACGTTCAGGGGTGGGGCAGCCACAGCTCCTCTGGGCACCCTGTGCCAAAACCTCAGCACCCTCCCAGGAAAGAGCTTCCTCCTGAGATCTCATCTCAATCTCCCCTATCTCAAATTAAAGGAGTTCTCCCTTGTGTGGATACGTAAGTAGCAGGATATGAAAACTAACATGTCTTTGAAGACAGCAACATTACAAGTGGAAAAAAATCCACTGTAAACCGGTAAAGACAGGCATGGCCTGTAATGACCTACACTGGGAGCCCTTCGCAGAGGAAAGCAGGCAGTGTATGCCTGCTAAAACACATCCAGTCACCAGCTAACTCAGAGCATGCGTGGGCTCCCTGGGGCTCTAGGAAAACAGCATGGGAAAGAGCCTGAAGCAACCACTGATGTTCCCTCCCTCAGCTGGCAGACACACTGCCTTCCTGCAGTGCCATTTCTGTGATGAGAGACAGAGTTTGGTCTGAACAACAAGATTGTGTAGAATCATGGAATCACTTAAGTTGGAAAAGACCCTTAAGAATGTTGAGTGCCCCATTAACCAAACACTGGCAAGCAACACATTCACCATGTCCCTTAGAACATGTCTTTTATATACCTCCACGGATGGTGACACAATCACTTCAGTGGGCAGCCTGTTTCTTGTCCCATCATCAGACAGGACAGTGAGGCCAGGACAGGCTGGGATCTCCCTTACCCCTACTGAAGGATGGGATTCAGCCTGGTCAGTTGAGGCATCTCACCCTGGGATTGTAGCCGTGGGGCTGGAAGTGGACTCAGCTCCCTTCCATGAACACCACAAGCCCACAGGAGGAGATCTCACTTTCTCAGAAGGTGAAAATGTACCATTGTACAGATGATGTCTTAATCAGAGGAGATTCCCCCACAGAGGCAGGGGAAGCAGCAACAGCAGTGTGGGAAGCACTACATGATGTCAAAGTTCCAACGGAGCAATGTCAGAAACCAAGTAGAAACCAGCAGATCAACGCTCACACCCAGCTTGGTGTTGTTCGCAAATTTACACATCCCAGCATGGAGCAGTACGGACCAGTTTGCATCAGTAGAGATCAACATAGGCCACTATGGCCCCAGATACTGCTGGGGTTTCAATATCCCAGTGCTCCCAGTCCCTGCCACAGGTCTTCTTGCTTGCAGGTGTGCTCAACTCCCAATCCCTCCCAGTGCCCCCAGTCCCTGCTGCAGCTGCTCCCAGTCCCTCTCAGTCCTTCCCAGTCCCTCCCAATGCTCCCAGTCCCTGCCACAGCTGCTCCTGCTCATCCCCCACACGACCTCCTTGCTGGTGGTCTTTTTTGGTACCTCCCCACACTGTGGCCACCCCCCAGCTCCCCACCAGCTCCCTGATACCAAAGGGGGGGGGGGAATTCATGTGCCCCATGGGGTGTGGTTTGGGGGCAACAAGGAACAATTTGGGGCTGTGTAGCTTTGGGGAGGGGAGCAGCTTATTTGGGGCAGCCACAGTTGGTGTGGGGACGTCTGGTGGGGCCCCTCCAGGATTTTCAGTCCCGAGTTCATCTGGGGGAGCCCAGGGTGATGTTGGGGTGCAGTTCACTTGGGGGTCCTACCTGCTCGTGTGTGTCTTCAAGGACATTTGGGGTTACCCCAGGATTTGCGGGGCACCACAATTGCTTTGGGTACCTCCAGGTCCCTTCGTGAGGGTCCAGAGCATGGTTTTGGGGTTCCCATTTACTGAGGTGCTAATTTTGCAGGGTTCATCCCCTCTGACCCCCTGAATTCAGTACTGAACCCAAAGCAATATCGGGGTCCCCCCAGGGGATTTGAGGGTCCAGAGCATTTTGGGTGACCCCAGGGCAGGTGCTGAGGGGACCCTATTTTTCGGACCACCCCTTTTTCAGGGGGCTCCTGGCCGCTGCATTGAGCCAGGGGCTCCCCGCTGTGATTCTGGGGTGCAGGGGGGGCTGTGTTCAGGGGTGCCGGGTTCTGGGGTCCCACCTTGTGCAGAGCCAAGAGCCTCTCGAGGTGCTTCTTGGGCAGCTCCTTCAGGTCCCAGTGCTGCTGCTGCAGCAGCTTCACGTCGGCCTTGTGCTGCCGCAGCTCCTGCAGCGACTGCGGGGACACCTCTGGGGGGGGGGGGGGGGGCAGGAGCCAAAGCTCCCCGGGGGCAGGAACCTGGGGGACCCCCATGTCCCTGAGGGAGGCACCTTTGTCCCTCAGCACCCTGAGTCTCACCGGATGCCCTGTGCTTCCCCATGGCAGTAAGTGGGTGGACTTTGAGGGTTCAGAGGAAGATTTGGGGATTCAGAGTAGTTTTGGGGTTTGGGGAGGTCCCCAAGACTCTCCAGGGGGTGCAGGGATTTGGGGGACCCCCCGTCTCCTGAAAATGGAGGGTATATCCATCCCAGGGCACCTGTGGCATCATTGGATGCCCCATGTGGTCCCTTTGCAATAAATGGGGTGAATTTGGGGGGTTCATGGGAGATTTCAGGGTTCATGGAGAGTCTCCAAATTTCCCCATAGCGGGCACAGTAATTTGGGAGACCCCCCCCGTGTACCAAAAAGGGTGGTGTACATCCGTCCCAGGGAACCCCGAGTCTCTCCTTGGTGGCTCATGTTCCCCAATGCAGGAGATGTGTTGGAGGAAGAGAACCTGAGGGTTCAGAAGGGATTTGGAGGCTCAGGGGGGATTCTGGAATTCAGGAATCTCACCAAAACTCCCCACTTGGATGCAGGGATTTGGGGGACCCCTCCATGTCCACAAAATAGGGGTACAACTGTCGCAGGGCAACCTGAGTCTCTGGTGCCCCATGTCGGCCCATGGAAGTAAATGAGGGGAATCTGAGGGCTCATGGGGAGGTTCTCATACTCAGAGGGAGGGTGTGAGAGTAATGTAGGGACCAGCAGAGCCCTCAAACAGGGGCTAAAGCAACCAGAAATCACCCCACAGATCACTGAGGAGGGGGGACATGGGGATCAAGGGGGACTTATTATTAATAATAATAATATTAATATTATTAACTAATTAATAATATTACTAATATTTATTAATAATAATACAATAACATATTATAGTATAAATTAACCATTAATAATAATTTATTAGTATTAATAAATGATTAATAGATAATAATTATTAGTATAACTATTATTAAGGTAATTATTAATATTATTGTTGATGTTGTTGGTATTATTATTAATATGACAATATTGTTCTTGATTTCAGTTCCTGACCTGTTCTCATCTCCACCCGTGGGTTTTATTTACATTGCTCCCATTCTCCTCCCCATCCCATGCGGGTGCTGAGTGAGCGGCTGCTGGTGCTGAGTTCCTGGCTGGGTTCCAACACTGACCCTGTCCTGGCCCCCTGCTGTGGCAGCAGGGGATGGACGTTTGCACTCTTGGAGCTGGGCTCTCTGCATGGGCCCGCAGCTGGAAGCAGCACCCTTTGGCTCAGGAAGCGCAGCTCCCGAGTGTTCTGGGGCTGGGGCAGTGCTTGCCAAGGGCAGGGGAGGCCCCGCAACAGCTCCTGTCCTGGCCCTGTTGCTGGGGGAGCACAGGGGCTCCCGCGGGCATTGCCGCAGTCAGGATTGCTCAGGTGTGCTCAGAGCCCACCAGCTCCTTCCCACCTTGCACAATGCCCCGTGAGCTTCTGGGCTGTGCCTGGGCCTGCCAGGGCCTTTGTCACCTTCAGGGATGCATTGCCAGAGCCCAGCAGGGCACTGGAGCCTTGCGCAATGCCCGGCGCTGGCCTGGCCTTTCCCAGAGCCCACCAGCACCCTCCTGCCTTGGGCAATGCCCGGTGGGCTTGCGCGGGCCTTGCCGGAGCCAGGCAGGTCCCCTTGTGCTGAGCTCCCAGTGACAGCTCCAGCAGCTGCACTGCTCAGGGGCTGCTCCTGCCCTGACACCTTCTCAGCACCTCTGACACCAGCAGCTCCTGCACACAGAAGGCTCCTGCTTCACCCCCAGCACCTCTATAGGCAAAGCTGAGCTCCAAGCACAGGAACAAGCCCAGTGCCTCCCCCTCACCCATCCCCTGCTCCTACAGCTGGGATGGCACCAGCACAGCTCCTGACAGCTTCTCCTCCCTTCACAGCACGCACCCACAATGTGTTTCAAGCCAACACTAAAGCAGCATTGCAAAGTCAAAGAACACGTACCTGGATGCGCAGGGCAGCCACAGGAGATGCAGCCTCCCGAGGGAGGGCTCTCCTCTGCACTGGTTACTGCAGGGCTCTGGCTCCTTAAATAGCCCACGCTCACCGTGGGGGCACCGTCACAACAGGCAAATCCACAATGAGCGCCACGGCTTTGTGATGGCAGCAGCATCGTGCCCATGGCAACTGGGCAACCAGGGGTTGGGACTGGGTGAGCTTTAAGGTCCCTTCCACCCCAAACCAGGCTGTGACTGTCTGACTGTAAAATACGATCTGCATTTGGCTGCACAAGAGCTCTCAGCACTGAGTCAGCCCCAGGATCAGGTGCAGACATTTGTGCAGAGCATCCTGTCTGCGCTGCTGGCCTTGGCAGAGGCCACTGGAGACCGTTGAGGGCAGGTCAGGCCTGGCGAACAGCCAGGATCGAGGGCAGCACCGCCACCTCCTCTGAAGGAAGCCCAGGGGTTGAGGCTCTGCAGTCTCTCCTTTCCCCTGCACCACCCTTGGCTTTCAGCCCCACAGCAGAGCCCTTCTGCAGCCGCTTCTCAGCTCTCTCAGAGAGTACTCCAGTTTGGGATTGAGCTGGGGGCAGGGGGTTGAGAGCAAGGATGCAGTGGGGGGGGTCATGGCTATGGGATGGAATGGAGCGGAGTGGGCAGGGGGTACAGCAGGGATGCAGTGGGGTGAGGTGGGCTGTGCTGTGCCAGGAGGGCACGGGAAGTGGGGCCTGACCCAGCAAGCAGGGGAAGTGCAGGCAGGGATGGAGCCCAGGCTGGGGCAGGGGCTGGGCAGGCTGGGCATGGCAGCAGGAGCATTGTGTCCCACCAGGGCTGGGCTCTCAGGAGGCTGAACTGAGGTCCTGTGCTTTTGGTGCAGGGCTGCCAAGAGCAGGCAGCTCCCTGAGGAAAGCTGCTCGCTGCCCCTTTGCATCAGGTAAAGGTCTGATCCACCCCCCATGTGTGTCCTGTGCGCACTGCCCCAGTCCTGAACCAATGTTTTGGGCAACATGGACAAGGAGATGGGTACCTGCAGGCAGCGCTGTGACTTAGCACAGTCCCAGAGAGAGCACGGACTAAGGATCCCCTCCCGTGCTGAATCAGTGCTGTCTGCGTTGATGAACAGTGTAAGAGATGTGTCTGGAGGCTTAAAATTTGGTTACAGAAGGAAATACTTCCAGTGCAGACATATTTCCTGGCCCAGAGTTCCCAAGATCTGGAGTACATAGAATCATAGAACAGTCAGGGTTGGAAAGGACCTTGAGGTCATCCAGTTCCAACCCCCCTGCCATGGACAGGGGCACCTCACACTAAACCATATCACCCAAAACCTCGTCCAACCTGGCCTTGAACACTGAGGGTGGAGCATTCAGAGCTTCCCTGGGCAACCCATTCCAGTGCCTCACCACCCTTACAGTAAAGAGCTTCTTCCTTATATCCATCTTTGTGTACTGTAAAATGTTATTGTATCCAAATGTAATTTGGCATTCTTGAATTGTGTGACATGATAATGACTAAAGAAATGATGATAAATCAGGTTTGGCACCTGTTTGATAGGTATATTCTTAATGCATACAGAAGCTAAGCTAAGCTTAAGCAATTGCTGTCTTGCCTTAGCCCTTTGCAGGACATCTTGTGTCTATTCAGATGGCTGCAATGAAACAAGAGGCTGCCTCCAATGTGTCATTAGGGTAGAGGGGCTTCCCTGAGACTCCCTCATATCATGTAGCATTGATGTATGATGCTAAAGCTGTTTCCCTGGAGCACATGGGAACCAGACTTGAGCAAGGAAGGTCAAAGTGAAATGAAAGCAGCAGTGTGCATCTCAAACTTTGTTCTCAGCTCTGCAACAGCAGAGTAAGTTGGAATTGGGATGGTTGTTAGGACCTTCGTCCTTTCCAATGTGAAAATCATGCAATGAGGAATAACACTTTAAAGAATCTGGTGTTCTCTCTTTGAAGAGAAGCAAATGAAGACAGGAATCCCATTGAAAGACTATCTCTCAATGCATTCTTCTGTTCAGAAACATTATTGTCTGCCTTTTTGTTTTTCTTCTTTCCAGAGCACTGTGGAGAAAGTGGTGGCTGGCTCTGTCCCAGTTCCTCAGGTGATCCCACTTGGAATCCCTCTTCCAAGGAAGGCTAACCATGAAGTAGACACAAATTCTCTTCTAGAATTGCAATCAGGTCTGAATAAGAGCTTTGAATCCAAGTAAAAACTTCTCTTACATGTTCATGTGAAACTTTGAGCCTCAAGACTTTTGTTTGTGTTTCATGGTGATTTTTATGAGGGTGCATTTCATTAAGGGTCTTAGAAAATGTTAAACATGTTTAAATACACCAGCTCTACTTGCACTTAACTTTATGCATTCAAGCAATATTATTGACATATGAGTTATTTCATGCATGGCAGCAGTCTTGATTGCTTCCAAGATAAAGCTGTTAAGCTGCAGCATTTTTCTTTGATTGCAAAAAAAACAGTGCATTAAAGTATAGTATATTTTATTAATTTCTTATCCACATCCTCTGTGGATCATTGGCCTTCACCCACAGCCCAGGATATAAACATCTGAGAACATCTGTTCAGCCTGTAGAAGAAAAGGCTTCTTATGCGGAGACCTTAGAGCAGTTCCCAAAGCCTAAAGAGGCTATAAGAAACCTGGAGAGGGGATTTGCACAAGGGCCTGTAAGGACAGGACAAAGGGAATGGCTTTAATGTGCCAGAGGGGAGACTGAGGTGAGCTCTTAGGGAGGCGTTCTTCCCTGTGAGGGTGCTGAGGCAGTGGCACAGGATGCCCAGAGAAGCCCCATCGCTGGCCATGTTCAAGGCCAGGTTGCACACAGGGACTTGGAGCAAGCTGCTCTACTGGAAGGTGTCCCTGCCCGTCGGACAGGGCTGGGAGTTGGAGCTGGATGAGCTTTAATGTCTCTTCAAAACCAAACCAGTCTAGGATTCTGCGATTATGTGATTTTGTTCAATATCTTTAACACTGGAGGTAATTCTTAAATGATTGGCAAAATGAAACAGATTCCTTCAAGTGCCAGATATGTTAGTAAGGGTAAGGCTGGAAAAATAAATTGTGTTTTCTTCACCAGTGTCAGGAAATATAACCAAATTCAGGTTCCTCTTCATGCTGCAACAACAACCACCGCACGTTCAGGACCTGCATATGCATCTTGTTCCAGTGCTAACTACTGCAGTTAGTTAGTAACTACTGCTTGTGTCATTGCTGTAGAATACTGTGCTGGGTTCAGCAGTAGCAGTCATTTTTCTCCTTCTTGGTAGCTGATGCAGTGCTATGTTTTGACTTTCAGCCTGAGAACAGAGCTGATAAAAATGATGTTTTGGAAAAGAACTGTCGTGGTTTAACCCCAGCCAGACAGCTCGTTCACTCACTCCCCCCCTTCTTGCCCTCCCCCTACTACCAGAGGGATGGAGAGGAGAATCAGAAAAAATGCAACTCCCACGGGTTGAGATAAGAACAGTTTAGTAACTAAGGTATAACACAAATCACTACTGCTACCACCAATAATAGTAATGATAAAGGAAATAACAAAGGAAGAGAATACAACACCTCATCACCAGGCGACCGATTACTCGCCCCCCCAAAGCCCGACCAAGCACCGACGGATACCTCCTCCAACCCTGCAGTCTCCTAGCCCATCCGGGTAACTCTCTGTTACCTCCTGGCCATGATAGGCTGTGGTATGGAATACCTCTTTGGTCAGTTTGGGTCAGGTGTCCTGTCTCTGCTTCCTCCCAGCTTCCCCTCCTCCCTGGCAGAGCATGAGGCTCACAAAGTCCTTGGCCAAACCAAAACATCATTGTTATCAGCTCTGTTCCCAGGCCAAAAGCCAAAACACAGCACTGCACCAGCTACCAAGAAGGAGAAAAATAACTGCTACTGCTGAACCCAGGACATTATCCACCCCTTATTCCATACCATTCACGTCATGCTCATTTTCAATATACATTTTCAATATACCATCAATCTTATCTAAGTGCACTCTTATCTTAGTTCATGGACCAGTCCCTATAAAGCTGCTGAGTTCATCTGGTCCATGATGTCAGGCTCCATTTCTTGTAACAGTCTTTCAGAGCATAAGAGGCTATGTGCAGTGTTTACACTTAGGAATAACCTGGGCAATAGTGTCCATTGCTAAGTCCACCCCTCGATCATGAGTCCATCTCTATGTTGCATCTCTGCTCTGATGGCCTGAAGTGCCATAGGCCCATCAGGCTCAAAATAATTCACTGTCCCCTTCAGCAGTTTCTGCAGCTTGTTGCTGGCGACACCATACAGCTGCCTTCCATCTCTGACGCTTCCAAAGCACTGGAGGGGCCCAGTGGACTAGATACTTGCCCATACTGTCCCACATGCCCTGCCACTCATGACTGTCCAGCCTTGGGGAAAATCTCCTGGTCCTCCCATATCGTTGTGTAACCCCAGACAAGACCCAAACCTGACTCTGCTTAACTTTTGAGATCAGACAAAATGGTGGTGGGTAAAACACACTCTGTGTGTGTGCCAACATGCTGATCCCCATCACAATCAGCAGGCAGGTCCCAAGGATACCCAAAGGCCAGTCAAAACCATCAGAACTCAAACGATGCTGCTGTACTTGTCACTGGGGCTGGTGTAGCTGCTGTGCTTGCAGCTCCCTCACCACCAGCTTCTCTTTTTCTGAGTCCAGCTCTTCCTCCTCTGCCTTGCTGGGAAATGCTGCGGGGTCTCCTGCGTCCTCCTGGGGCTCGGCGGGCGGCTTCCAGGGAATGCTCTCGGCCATCACGGGGCTGGGCTTGGCTGCGGGTCTCAGCTCCTCCACCGCCTTGTCCCGCTGCTCAGCAGCCACCTCCTTCCGCTCCTTGACCACGATGACCTCCTCCACTGGCAGCCTCTCCCTGCCAGCCTCCGGGCCCGCTCCTGCTGCCACTTGGTGCCCTGGGCCACTCTCCCGGGCCGCTTCGGCTGCCGTCGGCTCCCGGGGCCGCTCCCCCTCGGCTCCCCACGGTCTCACGCAGACGGAGGCGAGGGCGAGGGCCGGGACGGTGAGGAGCAGCCGGACGGACAGGTACCAGTCCACGGCCACGTCTGTCCCGCCCTGCTGCTGGAGCCCGCCCGTATTACAAGTCATTGCCATAAAGTACAGTGAGACAGGGACCTTAGCCCAAGCCCCACACTTGATAAACACTAACACAGCAAATACCAGGTCTAAGTAATGTACTACATTCTGAAGCTGTGAGATCAAGAGGAACAACTCTGAGAGCCCATAAATCAGCATTGTGATGAGTGACTGTCAATCCGGTCAGATCTGTCATTATCTCAACCCCTCATGCCCCACGTTGGGCGCCAGAAAGAACTGTCATTATCTCAACCCCCATGCCCCAACCCATCATGCCTCAAACCTGGAACGGTGGCAGGTGTGGGCATATACCTAAGAGCACCAAGTTTTTGCAGTGATGCCTGCAACTGTCTTCTCTCTGGCTTTTTAATTTTACTGAAAACTAACTTAGTACCTTTCTGGCCTAGTTTAGTCATCAGTAAAGTCACTCTTTCCAGGTGTCTTAATATTTTCTCAATAGCCTTTGATCTGTAAGGATCAGTACCAGCAGCTGTGGTTGTCAGCTGCTATGCTTCTAGTGACTTTGCTGCTGCAGACTCTAAGCAGGAAAATACTGAAAACCTCTTGACAGTCTTAATGACATGATGTGATGTGGCTTTTTCTTCAGATGGCACCATGTCTTGAATGCAGACATCTCCTGCCAGTGAATACACCCAGTTGCACTGGATGTGGGTCACCAATAGATTCACAGGTGCATCCCCAAACCAACATCTGCATAAAGGTAATTGAGAATAAATCTAACTGAAGAGCAATTTATATCCTGGCATGCATGTTTCTAACAGTGACTGCATAAAAAGATTGATCCAGCTTGGGTTTCTCTGATTACATTGTGAGAGCTTTAAGGGTTAATAGGATTCAGACCACCTTAACTAGAAATAAGCATTAAAGGTAAACCACATAAGCTCAGGGAGGCATATTGAAGAGCGCAGGAGGTAGCAATCTGAAAGACAGGGTGCGTGCACTTGTGTTCAGTAGGGAGATATTCTGTGATTCTGTCATTTATGGTCTTAGTATTACTGAGCATTTTATTAAATAGGTCCTCATCACTCTGCTTCCCTCAGTTGATTGTAAGTCCTTAGCACAGATGGGCTGGCAGGACTGGGGCAGTGGGGAGATGCCCAAAATGCTCAAGCGCAGCATTAGTCAGTCATCCAAAAGTGCTGGTGGGCTTAAGTAGCCAAAATCTACCCTCCAGAATGCTCCGTACCCAAGGGTATGGGGACCCAGGTAGGGGCAGTCTTCAACTCTCCCAATCAGGGGAAAGGGTGTGAGGAAGAGCAAACTGATACTGCATGTCCACAGTTGGTAGATTATAGACACTGCTCCAAAGTGGGTGTTTTCTGGCAGTCCTGATGCAGATGCAAAGGCAGTCCTGAACTGTTTGGTGGCAACCATCAAAATAGCAAACTCATTATTCTCAGCTCTGGTGGAGTCTCACTTGTGAGATACAGTGACTGCGCTTGGCATGCTCAGGAGGATTTTTTATTGGTCTATATCAGCTTCAGGAGGATACAAATCATTTTCCTTGCAGACACTGGACTTGCTGTTTTGTGTGAGTGCAGTGACTAAGCAAACTGGCACTAGTTTATAGAAACGTTTGGAGGTATTGGTGCTGCATTTCCTGAGGGAACTGCAGCAGCTGAAAATGAATTGTCACCAAGATCCATGGATTTGTGATGGGCAAGCACTACAGCCTAGCTAACACCTCAAGCCCACAGCAAAGACTTGAA